GTCACTACCCACAGCTCGTGGCCATAGGTGAGGGTAGGGACGTAGATCGACCGGTAAATTGAGAGCTTCGCTTTTACACTCAGCTCCCTCTTCACCACGTAAAAAAACAAACAAACAAAAATAAACAAAAAAAACCGTGAATAACATGAGCTATGTAAAAAGTGACAAAATAATGTATTTTATACACTGCCCATGTTTAATATAAATAAAAGCGTAGAGAAAGTAAAGTGGAGAGGGTAAACAATGCTGTTTTGTGTCTAGGGTTTCTTATCCTTGTTTTTCCTCTTTTTTTCTTGAACGCAGCATTTTATAGAAACACAAAAGCGGAAATATCTGTAAACAGGAGTCATTTTTGTAAGGTTTCTTCGCTTCAATTCAGAGGAGGAAGGAGAAAAGTATTTGCCCCGCCCTTTCCGGGTACAGCAGCCAATGGCAGCGTAGCTTCCTACTGTACTTCCTTAGCTGCTAAAGCATGGCGGTCAAAAACAACGTGTGAAAGTCACAGTAATCAACAACATAGCAATCCGTTGCATTATATAAATTTTCAAGAGTAACAACAGCAATGCTCGTTGGATAGGACGTTAGCTCTCTGATGCAGGTAGCTGTTAACATCGGTACGGAGGATAAACAATTTTCTCCAGAAAAGTCTGAGCAAACTTAAAACTGGTGGGTAAGTCAGAAGAAAACAGACCGTTTCTTTGTTGCTTTTGTGGAAAAATGTTCATTTCTTGATATCTTAAAACTTAAAGTTGTAGTTTTTCGCTGGCCTCTAAATAAGCTGTTGTGAATAAAGCTCATGAGTTAGCATCAAATACAGCTGCAAAGAATAGCTCTGCACTAACTAGACTGTAATAACACTGCTATATCCCATGTGTAGATGTCCAAAGTTTTATCAATTGCACATTGCCAACTCTAGTATAAAGTGACCAATTATATTATGAAAGCTTTTGAAGCGGTCTTGCTCTAATACACATTACTGAACTATTGGCAAGCACACCTGTTTAAATGCAGTACTGTGCAAATATTTCAGCCTCTACTAAGTATTGAATACTTTTATTTTGTCGGTTACCTTCTCAGGAAGTTAATACACAGACACAAGTAAAGTCCTAAAGTGAGTATTTTTGTCTTTAAAACAGCAGTAATGCTTCTATGTTCTCATACCCAACGTTTTTAAGCTACTGGGTAGGTTGTTCCAAACATTTCTATAGTGGATTCAAGCTGCCTGATTTGATCTTGTGTCTGTATGCAAGCCCAGATTGACTGCTTTTTTTTCTTTCAAAAATGACTCTGGCAATATACAGTGCTTAACAAATTTATTAGGGTTTATGCCACAGCCACCCTAAATCATATTTATTTTCTGATTAAGATGTCAAATTACAGCTATTTACTACTTCTGTTTACTTCCTAACCAGAAGAAAATAACTCAGCTCAACTTTGGGTATACAAAGTGAATTCAGTTTGTTATTTGACTAATAAATAACAAATGTACTTTTTACTTTAAACAAGTTTTTGATAATTTCTAACATTTTTTTCTCTTTTTTTACAACATAAATTAATTAAGCACTGCATGTTTGGAGTAATTATCATGTTGCACAATAAATTTGGGAGCCATCAGATACCTTTCTGTATGTGGATGAGAATCCAAAGTATCTAAGATTTTTGCATGATACGGTTTGGTTTAGTGTTGTGGGGGCAAAATACTAACCCCAAGTTGCTCTCCGGTGCATCCATCAGAGTATGAATGCTTGTGAAGTTTAGATAGAAAGCACTTACAGGGAAAGACCATAGAAAAAGTGTTTGTGTGAATGGGTGAATGAGGCAAGTTGTGTAAAGCATTTTGAGTGCTCAGATAGAGTAGTAGTGCTATGTAAGAACCAGTTCATTTACCATTTTGATAGACAATTTTTAGTGCAGTAGCACTGTGGTGTAATTGGAATTTGTTGTCATGCATATCTTTAAATAAGTTTTCATGAAACAGTGACACTAATGGTGCCTGTTTTTGATTGCTTTGTATTATATAATAATACGTACCTTTTAAAAAGGAAGAAAAATACATTTATGTATTTGTTACTAATTTACTTCTTGCAGATGAGCCGGTTAAAGTATCCTGACTGAGTCTAACTGCTGTGCTGATTATGGATGACTTAGAAAGAGAGCTGGAGCCTCACATTGACTTAGAGAATGACTCTGACTCCTCAGAGGACAACTCTTCAAAAGGAGAGAAGAAATCAAAGTTCCCTCTGGTTAAACCCATTTATGGAGGTGGGTTGTACAGAATTTCCATAAATAATTTTTTCTGTTAGACAGCAGAGGACATATTAGATGCAAGACTTATTGCTCACTGATCAATGTATGGTATACTGTTTGCCGGCTTCTGCATAGTCCTGGATTTTACATTATAGAAAAGTTTAGTCAGCGGTAATTAAGAAATAATTTCTTCACTTTAATGTGAAATAAAAATATTTTATTTCTTTATTAAAACAAATTTAAAAGGTATCATAAATGTTTCTATCAGCCTCACAAATCCAATGCTGTCTGAGGTTTGGAACTCATACCTTTCATCTTCAGATCAGACTCAACAGAATGGGTTTCGCCGGACCACCAGCATGTGTCGGGAGCGCATCAGAGAAGCCATGCTGCACCACAGATGGGAGGAGGCAGCAGAATATATGGTGTACTACCCCCAAATTTTAGAAGACAGAAATCTTTTCACAGCGCAGCCATCTAAGGAGGTAGATTTTATTAGAATTAATAAAGACTTGTTTAAACACTCAGCTTTAAACACTGCATTCATTTTCATCCTTGACCTTAATGCTCTCTTTGAAATTTCAGTTTATTTGGAGAACTGCCACTGAGATCTTTCACCATCATCCCAACTCAACAATGGAAGATTACAACACCATCTATGAGCGAATGAAGCATTCGGGATTTAGACATTACCTAATGGTACTTCAACTAATAAAAGTGGCCGCAGTGTAGTTTTCATGTGAATCTGCATATTTTTTTTTTCTTATGAGGTGTTGTCATTTTGTGTTTCTAGATTTCTCTGGAACATTCCTTCCACCTCCTGCTCCACCAGCAGATTGAAGATGCAAAGCGGCATCTTGCTAGCGCTGAGAGTTGGAGGCACGGGAAAGAGACAGCAGCTCAGATTCAGAATATTAAACTGATCCAGGCGTACAGGGGCCTGTTGGATTATATCATCTGGTGTGACAAAAAGTCCACACGCTCCAGCAGCGGTAAGGCAACGTGCAGCATAACAGCCCAGAACATGCATTATTTAGGTTTCTCAGTAAGAGGCGTGTAGGAGGCTCGTGTGAAGTCACACTGCCACCTACAGGTCAGACATGGGAACTGCGTGTTTGACAGAGCAGTTTAAATTCATTATGTTGGGGAAAAATGTGTTTGTGTGTGAAAACCTGTCTGTCTGGGCTCACATCTTTGATGTTTGGTGCTCTCTTTTTCAGATTATTATGAATCTGATTCCAATCAAACCATGCAAAACTACTTCAGGCAAGCGTCAGTGAATCTTGAGGAGATTTTGAAAAATCCAGGCGTCTGGGATTGTTTCATACTGAGATATGTTGAGGTAAACACTCATTCCTTCCTTCGTTTCCTTCATCCGTCCATTTTTTTTCTGCTTATCCAATTCAGGATCACAGGGGCGCTGAAGCCTATCATGATGTATTTATGACTGTGTTTTTGTTACCTCTCTTGTGAAGCACTTTGTGACATCTGTCTGTGAAAAGTGCTATATAAATAACCTTTTACTTACTTACTGAAGAAGC